CACACACACACACACACACACACACACACACACACACACACACACACTTTCTACATACAAGGGTTTTCTTGAAGGCAAGTGCCCAGACCATAGAAAATGAAGCTGGAACTGTGAGAAAGAATGAGAAGGAGTAGTAGAGTGAGACTTACCTCAGAACCACCCTGAACTGGTTGAATACCTCCTGGATCTGCCTTAAATTGATTATCTGGCAGGAAAAGAGCAAAACTGAGTTTAGACAATGGAACCTAGGAACAAGACTGAATCTAAGCAGAGAAGTCAGGAGCCCTTGACTGACTCTGGACCATCTCATTCTGAGAATGATTTGTGTGCAGAAGCCTCCCAGTGGCACTGGAAAGATGACTTCTCTTGCAGAGAACATACTTGGTTCCCAGCATCAGGGACAACTTTTTAGCTCTTGTTCTAGGGGATATGATGCCCTCTTTCAGCCTCCATAGGTACTGCATGCAAGTATACAAACCTGCACTCCACCAACTGAGCATATCCCTAGTCCCTGATTAATAGCTTTAAAATTAAGTACTTGTCGAGCCTTTATTAAAAACTATTTTTTAAGTTTTTTCAAGTTTTTTTTTACTTTTATTTTTATGTGTATGAGTGCTTTGCCTGCCTGGCTCTCAAAGACCAGAAGAGGACACCAGATTCCCCGGAACTGCCATGAGAGGGATAGCAGCCCATGTAGTTCCCTGGTGATAGGTTTATGGCTGCACTGTAAAAAACAAGACTCATTCCCCTCTCGAGCTCTTCCTGTGTGCCCACTGTTCTCTCCTTTTATACTCCAACTGTGGGCCCTGAGAGGCAGGTTTCCTTTAATGACAAACAACCTGACCACCATCCTTTATCAGCCTCATGTCACCAGGCACAGCCAAGCTTGTCAGCCTGAGCCTGTGTTCCCTCTACTGCACAGACGAGGCATCGGCTAGAGGACCTGGCATTCCATCAGAGCAGCTTTGCTTCAAGGCCTGCGCCTGTGTCCATGTCCCTGAGGTAGACCACATTTGATATAAGAGTGTGTTCCAGCCCACTGAACATTGTATGTAGCTCCATAGGTTTGTAGCCCTAAACATGGAAGCTAAAGCCATCTTGACTGGGGTCTACACCACTTCCCATCTACTGCACCCATTCCATATATGGCAGTACTCAGGACAGAAAGTCCAAGCTATCTGAGCATGGTGATCCCACAGCAGGGCTTCTTACATCAATCTCATCCAGTGTCCCCTCCAGGTATCTCCGCACTTGCGAGTTGATTTCAGCAATCTGGATTTCATCCATGGGGTCGTAATTCACGAGGGTGCGGTTGGACTTAAAGGAAAAACATGCGCTACATAAGAACCTGAGCCCAAGCAGGAGCAGCAAGGGCCATTCTGAGAGCCAAAGTCTGGACCTGGGCACAGTATCTGATACCTATGCTGGCCATTTGCTTTACTGTCTGGTCCTGGCAGGGAAGATGCATGGGTCAGAAAGCAATGGGGAAGTGGGGAGAATAAATGGCACTGTACATGAAGCCTGCTCTTTCAAACCAGAAATCTCAGCAAACCACAAGGTAGGGAGATGCTGGCTCTGCCTTGAGGACCATCAGAGCCAGGACCATAAGCCCAGGTAGGCCACAGGAGGACTCCACCTGCCCCACCATGCCTACCACTGATCCTTTCCTACTATCTAACCCATCCTACAGCCCCTGGCCTCTGTCCCCAGCAACTTCACCTCCTCCCCCATATCCAGTCCCTTACCAGACTATCATGGATGGCCAGTTCCTGCTTAAGCAATGCCAGCTCCTTCTCCAAGTTCTTGACCATTCTCTGCCAGGGAAATATACGTAGTAAGGAAGGGGGTCATCAGAAAAAATACCCGACTTCTTCACACCAAATGTGCTGTGGGACAATGGCATCAGAAAAAATACCCGACTTTTCACACCAAATGTGCTGTGGGACAGTGGTCTGTACCCTGTCAATTGTATTTTAATAAAACGCTGATTGGCCAGTAGTCAGGCAGGAAGTATAGGGAGGGCAGCGAGAACAGGAGAATTCTGGGAGGAGGAAAGATTCAGTCTGCAGTAGGAAGCCAGACAGAGAGCAAGCAAGATGTGACTGCCTCTCCAAAAGATGGTACCAAGCCACATGGCTAACACAGACAACAATAATAGGTTAATGAACTAATTAATAAGAAGCCTGAGCTACTAGGCCAACCAGTTTATGATTAACATAGACCTTTATGTGTTTATTTGGGACTAAACGGCTGTGGGTGGTGTGGCTAACATAGAGGGACCAGGTAGGACAGAAATCTCTGTCAACACAAATGTTCAATTTCTTTTCTCTTTTTTGTTTGTTTTTTGAGACAGGGTTTCTCTGTGTACCTCTGGTTGTCCTGGATTCACTGTGTATGCCGACCTGGCCTCAAACTAACAGAGATCCACCTGCCTCTGTCTCCAGAGTGCTGGGACTAAAGACATGTACCACCACATCCAGACAAATGTTCAATTTCTTAATTTGGACCCAGATATCCCGGTTATTCCAGGTAATCCATAGTGTTCACAGTTTCTAGGACAATTCGGTCCTTGTTGGTGAACCTTCTCCAGCAGGAATAAGCTTGGTCTAAGATGGCTTCTTTCAGCAAAGAGACTGAGAACAGGAAGCACGGACTATGGATCTTCTTCAAACTCAATTCCCAGTAGCTGCTGGAGTTCCCTAGTCTCTCAGAGTATGGCTCTTCCTGGGCCATGGCTTATGTGTGGAGGCTAAAGGACAAGTTGCAGGACCCAGTTCTTTCCTTCTACCATATGAATCCTGGGCAACAAACCAAGGTCATGGCTAGCAGCTTAATACACCAAACCATCATGTATCTCAGGCTGGCTCAAACTTCACTATGTAACTGGCAATGATGATGAAAATCTCTGATCCTCCTACTTCCCAAATGCTGGCATTACAGTCTACACCAAAACACCTGGTTTACACTCTGCCAACTGAGCCACCTCCCCAGGTCTTTACCTCCTTGTTTTGCAATGATAAACAGTGTCAGGTCAGCCTTGGCTACATAGCAAAAAGGCCAGCCTGGGCTCTATTTTAACTGTCACAAATTTTTTTTAAATGGAGAAAAAAGAGGGAACAGGGAGGGAGGAAGGAGAAAGTTCTCTGTATGCCTGGCATATAGAGAACACCTCACAGATTTAAATAAGTATAAAAATGATAAATTTTGGCCAACATAATTTGCCAAATTACAGTTGATATTTGAGTATATTTTGTAAAAGATGCTCAAGGAATTTCTCTCTGAGACTTCTCACCATGGACAGGCTTGTCTTTGTCACAAAATGACCACTGGAGGGAGCTACTTCCAAAACTAGTGACCACAGCTGTGTCTAATCACAGATCCAAAGGTCTTTTCAGTCTACAGGCCTGCTATAGTCTAGCCTCATTCAGTCACATTGCCTGGGTAATAAGGCTTACCTGTTACCGTGCATGCTTTATGACAGACCCTGGCATCACGGTGGCTCTGTGGCAATTTAGACACAAAGCCTGAGACTTAAGGCATGTTATCAGAATCCAAATTTTGCCTGGCTCAGCCGTTTAAGAAGCCCCAAAGAGGTCTCTTTCTAGTATGGACTGTCTTTGGTGGCTGTTGTCAGCCATCTCGTCCTCCCCACTCTTGAGAATCCACTATACCCCAGATACAGAAAGTCTGGTTGAGATGTTGGCAGTGCCGCTGGATGACTGTAGTGTGTCATGTAGCATGACATAGTGTGTCATTGGAAACATGGTCCAATGAAGTGAGTGGGGTAGTGAACCCTCTTAGGGGAAGCAGCCTCCAGCTTACCCTGCCAACAAGGAAACTGTTTCTCCTAATGATTGACAGGTGTAGCAGCCTCCCTTACTGCCTGGAGAGCAACTGCCGGGAGACAGGACTGGAGCAGCAGACGCCACAGTTCAGGACCCTGAAAGCACCTCCTGTATCCACCCACACACATACTGCACACAAGAAAAATCTGTGAGAGACAGTTTTGCCGAGGCTTCACAGGTAACGAGGGATGGAACAAGTCACTAAACAAGGATGGCCCAACCCAGAAACAGCACATGCAGCACTTGGAAACTCAAAAGCACAGATCCTCATTGGTAGTGGTGGTGGCACAAGTCTGTAATGCCAGAACACAGGAAGTTGAGGCAGGAGGATCAAGAATTGGAGGCCAGATTTGGCTATATAATGAGACCATGTCATAAAATGGAGGGGGGGGGGCAGGGACCAGAAGGGAAAGGGAGGAAGGGAGCAAACACACAGACTCCATCACCTGCAGAATCAGGAGCTCAGAATAGATGGAGTTTAGCCAGCCAGGGATTTGTAACCCTCACTGAGCTTAGGAACCAGAACTCATCTCTACTTTCTTGCTAAAGCATGGTTAGTTCCATGATGGCATCATCCTTCAGGGTTGATGCCCTAGACAGCTGAGCCCTTCTGCCAGAAACATGGGTGCATGCACATGCCCACTCCAGTCCAGGCTTTCATGAGCATCTTTGGTTGATTTTTTTAAAAAAAATGCTTTATTTTTTATCTTATGCATATGAGTGTTTTGCCTGCATGTATGTATGTGTGCATGCACACGTATGAGTGTGCTCACCATGTTTGTGCCTATTTCCCAGGGAGGACAGAAGAGAGCATCAGATTCCTTAGAACTGGAGTTATAGACAGTGCCATGTGGGTGTTGGAAATGGAATCCAGGTCTTTTTTAAGGGCAGTTAATGCTTTTATCGCTGAATCATTTCTCTAGTCTGTGGGTTGGATTTGGAGACTGTGTCTCATGTGAACTCATGATCTTCCTGAGATCAGACTCCTGCAATTTGTCCTTAGACCTCCACTCATGTGCCCACACATATACAAGCACACATATATACACTCAAAATAAATGAATGTGGAGGGGGTGGGGTTCTGTAGTGATAGGCAGGCAAGGCTGAGAAGACAGTGTGTGCTGATTCAGCTCTGAAGAAATCACAAGGAGATCCTGACGTACCCAATCCCCAGAGCCCTACATGTGAATTGAGTGGTAGATCATCTAGCCCTTTCTCTTTTGTGGCTGTCTAGTAGGGTCTCCAGGGATTCTTAAAGACATTGACTTACCCCTGAAAGGAAAAGGACTGACCCAGGGCCCATGGGTAACATTAGTGGAGGCAGGAAGGAAACCAGACAAGCCTGGCTTCCCATATGACCTCCACCAGATACTCAGGTGACAGCAAACACACAGACGTTGTTCCCAGAGCTGGGAAGCTTCTCACCAGCCCCTTAGTACCTCAGCATCATACTTTTCATTGATGGCAGGCTCAGTAGTGACCAGTTTCATCCTGCTGGCGAACCTCAGGGAAGACAGCTGAAAAACAGATCAGACAGATGTCAGGCGGCTCTCAGATGGCATGTCCTCTTCAGACTCTTCAGGGGGCTTTCCTGAAGGGCCTTCAAGGGGACACTGATCAAAAGGGCATTTCGGTACTCTGTGGGTGTAGATGAGTGATATCAAACCTGACTAGCATGTGGAAGGCCCCAGGGTTCAATCCGTAGCAACAAAATATAAACAAAATATAAAATTCAAAGGGTAAACCAGGCATCGTGACACATGCACTTACGAAGTGGAGGTCCCAGACCGTCATTACAAATGGCTGTTAGCCACCATGTGGTTGCTGGGAATTGAACTCAGGACCTTTGGAAGAGCAGGCAATGCTCTTAACCGCTAAGTCATCTATCTCTCCAGTTCCCGAGAAACCCTGTCTTGAAAAACCAAAAAAAAAAAAAAAAGACAAAAATGAAGTGGAAACAAAAGATCAAGAGTTTATCATCCTCAGCTATATATCAGGTTGGAAGCCAGGCTTGGTTATGTTAAAAAATATCAAAAAATATATAAATAGGTCTGGAGAGAAGGCTCGGCAGTTAAGAGAGCTTGATGTGCTTCCAGAGGATCCAAATTCAGTTCCCAGTACCCATGTCAGAAGACTCACAACTGCCTGTTAGGAATAGGAAGTTGACAGAGGCATATGCTGTAGCCAGGACATCATCCCGTGCACTATGCAGACACTAGTCCCTTTCTTTCTTCCTTTGAGACAGGGTCTCAATACGTAGTCCAGGTTGGTCTCAAACTCACAGAGATCTACATGCCTTGCCCTGCCTCCCCAATGCTAGGATTAAAGGCATGTGTCACCACACTGCTGCACGCTGGTCTATTTCTTATTCTTTTCTTCTTTCTGCAGTGCTGGTGACCATATCCAGGGCCTTGTGCCTACTAGCCCAGCTTTCTACACTGATGAGCATCCTTAGCCCCACACTGTTCTAATCCACACCTATCCATCTTCCACCCAGATGCCCATTCTTGAGCCACCTCCTGCCTAAGGAACGCTTTCCTCTCCTCCTACCCTGCTTGTCTTTCTGCTCTCTGCTCTTTAAGGTCAGATCAGAAACCAGCTTCCAGCATGAAGCTTTTCTGGTTCTCCTTCACATGGAAGCACAGGCATGGTGTTCCTCCTTCAAGAGGGTCCCCCTGTCCTTCTTTATCCACTTCTCTGGCTCTATATTAATGGAGTCTAAAGGAAATAATACAAAACCATATTCATAATTATTTTTTCTTTTGTTTCCTTTTTGTATGTTTTCATGAGACAGGAACTTTATCTGCAGCCCTGGCTATCCTGGAACCCTCTATGTAGACCAGGCTGTCCTCAGATTCATAGAGCTGCACCTGTCACTGCTGCAGAGTGCTGGAATTAAAGGTGTGTGCCACCATACCTGGAAAATATAATTTTTTAAACTCATGTGTGGGTCTGGGGAGAAGAGCTCAGTGGGTAGAATACTTGACTATATAAAAATGAGGAACAAAAACTTGAGTTTGATCCCAGAATGCATGTAAAGAAGCCTGTGTGGCAGAAACAACTGACCTGAGCTAGTGGAGATCACCGACTCTGGACTGTCAGCTGGGGAAACTGCATAGGACCAAACTGGGCCCCTCTGAATGTGGGTGGCAGTTGTGTGGCTAGGGCAGTTTGTGGGGCCATTGGCTGTGGAACCAGTATTTATCCCTAGTGCATCAACTGGCTTTTAGGAGCACATTCCCTATGGAAGGATACCTTGCTCAGTCTAGATACAGGGAGGAGGGCCTTGGTCCTGCCTCAAGTGATATGACAGACTTTGTTGACACCCCCATGGGAGGCCTCACCCTTTCTGAGAAATGGATGGGTGGTGAGATGGGGGGAAGGAGGAGGAAGGGAAGGAGAGGGAACTAGGATTGCTATGTAAAATAAAAAAAAAAAGATTGTTTTTTTTAAAATAAGATAAAATAAAGTTTAAAAAAAAGGAAGCTTGTGTGGACACATGACCTTGTGACCTCAGAGCTGGTGAGGAACAGACAAGTAGATTCTCTGGTTCACTGGCAGCCATATTAGTCTTAATGTGATACCTCCAGGTTAATGAAGCATCCTGTCCTAAAAGACAAGGTCGGGACTGGAGAGATGGCCCAGTGTGGTGAGAAAACTTGTGGTGAATGCAAGGGACCTCAGTTCACATCCCCTGCACCCACATAAAAGCCAGGCATTGTTTGTGTGCCTGTAACCCCAGTATTGGAGCACAGAGACAGGTGAATCAAGGAGTTCCCTGGCTGGCCAGCCTAGCCAAAACAATGAGATTTAGGTTCATTGAAAGAATCTGCCTGGAGAAATAAGGTTGATAGTAATAGAGGAAGACATTTAGCATCCTCCTTTGGCCACCACATGCCCAATCTTTTATCACTGCAATAGAAAGAAAACTAGGGCACCACACAATCCTGATGACCTGAGTTCAATCCTTGAAACTCACAGTGGAGAAAGAGAACTAGCTCCTGAAGGTTGTCCCCTGGCCATGTGCACCCTCCCCCAACGATAATAAGGATACATTTTAAAAGTGAAAAACATGCTAGACACATAGCCCAGTGATAAGGCACCTGTCTAGCATGTGTAAGCCCTGGGATCAACCCCTGCAGTTCCAAAAACAAAAACAGGTCAGGCATGGAAACACATGCCTGTGATTCCAAAATTTGGGAGGTGGAGGCAGGAGAATCAGGAATTCATGATTGTTTATGGCTATATACAATGCTCAAAAACAGCTGGTATACATGAGTATATGAGACTCTCTCAAGATATACCTCCCAAGAAAAAGAAGGAGAAGAGGAAGAGGAGGAAGAAATGAGGAAGAAGAAGAGAAGCAGAAATTTCCAAAGCAAATTTGATGTCTCTTAGTGACATCTGGGGACCCTTCTGGGGCAATTATGGCCAGAGGCCATGAGCAGCCACATGAGTAGGCACCCTGGAAATAGCCTCAATGCACACAAGTTAGAAGAGGAACAGAGCACAAGGCAGGCCCTGAGAATGGAGCCTCACATCATGCTGGGTTGAGTGTCAATGAAGACGCCCTGCTATGAGAAATACCTGGCTTGGAAGGGGGATGGGTCACCCTGCAGTGGCCTCAAGGAAGGACTGGTAAGGTTCTTCCTCAGTGGTGTAGTTTGGTGGTTAAGGGCTCTGTCGTGGTCATTTGAGTGACCTTCCATAATTCTCACCACATCCTCGTATAAGGATGGGTGACCCCCCTACCCTTGTGAGTCTCTGGGAGACAGTGGTGTGGTTTCTGATGTGCTCTGTAGAGAGAGCTCTCAGAGGAAGCCTAATTGTTGTCACAGCACTATTTTTGTGGAGATCCAATTCAGACTCCTGCTCCAAGTGTAACTGTTGCTTCTGCTTCAAGGCACTAGTTCCCCCAACACACTACTGTTAGTACATAAAGTAATACAATTCATGACAGAAACATGTTTTGAGTTTTTAAATTATTATTGTTGTTGTTGTTGTTGTTTGGTTGGTTTTTCGAGACAGGGTTTCTCAGTAGCTTTGGAGCCTGTCCTGGAACTAGCTCTTGTAGACCAGGCTGTACTCAAACTCACAGAGATCCACCTACCTCTGCCTCCCAGGTGTTGGGATTAAAGGTGTGTGTCACCACCGGCCGGCGAGTTGTTTTTGTTTTTT